ACCCCCATGCCTGGAGAGCTCCCTCTCACCCAACCCTCGCTGGCACCAGGTTAAGGACCTGGCAACCCTAAGTAGTCATGTAAGCATTTGATGACTTCCAGGTCCATATGTTGTTTTTTTGGGTTGTCTGAGAATACTTGTATTTTTTCCCAGTGAGAGTAAAATCTGTTTAGGAGTAGTGGATGTTTTTTGTTTTTTTTAAGTGTAAAAACATGATAGGAAAAGGTTAAAAAGCCTTTTTCCTCCTGCACCATTCAGCCTCTTGAAATAACAGCCACAGCAGTTGCATTTGGAAAAGAGGATCTTTTAAGATAATGGCAGAACTACACGTAACATTGTTTTGGCCATTTGTCAGTCTGTGGAAGTAGGGTGAACTGGTGGCCCTCCTCTAGGGTGTTGTCTCAAGTTGACCTTTGCTGTTGCTTTCAGTTACCAAAAATTAAACAGTTTTCTTTTCCTGTTTTGCCTTTCCTGTTTATGAGAGATTCTAATCTGAAGCTTTACATTACAACTGTTTTTTGGCTACGGGGAAAATTGCTGATTAAGTTTAGAATACCAAGGTGATTTCATCAGTTATGTAATGCTACTAACGATCTGAGGATAAATAGGTTTGTTTCTGCTGGATAAAGTGCCATACTTGTTAATTCAAGGCCTTGATTACTAAGGGTTATGATTTATTAGACTTTTATACCACCCTCCCCACACGTGGGCTCAGGGCAGTTCACAACACAACTATAAAAACATATAAATCAAAATAAATTGCCTTAAATGTAACCCCTGGGTAGACTCCTCAATGCTGATATAATGACAAACACATTCCTGTCGAGCATGTATAATATACTATATTGAACCAGATAAATGTGAGACAAGATTTATGCCTATTATCTAAAAACGGTAATGGCTTAATTTTGGAGTTTTCTTCGATATGAGAATGGCATCTTTATATCAGTGTATATTTTAAGTTGGTAAAACTCGAAAAAGTTTGAATAATTATGTTAAGAATGGTATTTTAGAACTACAGATGTTATTCAAAGTTGTTGTTTATTTCTTGACCTTAATAGTACTACTCTTTGGTGATGAAACTGTAAAACTCCAATTAGGCCTGAAGTAATTTTTTCCCAAATTTTTTCTACTCAGTGTTGCTTTTATTTAAAAGGAAATATAGGGAAATGTGTTACACTGTTGCTTAAAGGAATACCTAATGTATTCCATTTGTCCATATGTTTGCATACAAGTTGATTAATGCATGTGAAAAAGCATTATGTTAGTATCCTTTTAAATAGTAGATTGAGATCCAAAACCTAGATTAGATTATACCAAGGGTATGATCTAGCCAGCTGGTTCGATTGTTTTCTCTTTGATCATCAGACTCTTATACCATAAGAAATTGATTTTTAAGCTCTCCCTAATTTCTAGGTTCCTTATTATATGCGCATCAGAAGACTGCTTTTTCAAGAAATACTTTAGGCACGCAGAATTGGTTTTACAGTTGTAGGCCTCTTAATTTTGAACAACATACTCTTAAGCTTTAAAATATTTTTAATTTATTTTATAATGGTGTGCACCTACAAATTACAAAAAGAAGTTAAAGTGTGTTATGTATATACCGAACATTTTCTGTAGTTATCTTCACTGTCTCTCTGTAGTCTGGTTGATTACCATGGAAATGATATGTGAATCCGATGGCAGGACAAGTTATTTTTTTCAAGTATCAACAATAAGTCAGATTACATAAAGATATTTTGAAAACATTGGTTAATGTGGGCATTAGAGAAAATCATGTATAGGTGGTACCTTATGTCCAATAGAGTAGCCAAAATAACATCAGGAGCCTCTAATAAATGTTGGTGATATAATAAAAGATTTGGTACTGTCTTTCACATCTGGTGGCAGTGTCCACAGGCACACAAATACTGGAACGGTATATTCAAAGAGATAAATAGAATTGTAGCTTGTAAGCTTGTAAGCCTAAGGTAGTCCTGTTACCTCAAGATATACAGCAGAAAACAAAATACATGCTCAAAAATCTTTTAGCAGTGGCAAGACAATGATTACTGCAAGCTTGGAAACAGCTGAGCCTGCCTGATATTGATGAATGGACTCATAAAGTGTGGTACATTGTACTGGTGGATAAAAGTGCTCTTTATAAGAATGTGAGAAGGAAAAAGTAAGGCTCAGAAGATGGTCCTTTAGACATATTATCTTTTTATTTTGTACTAGAAGTACAAAATAAGTAAACCCAATGATTGGGTTAAACAGAATATTCTGAGATATATTTGAACAAAGGACTGTTAGATAACAGGAAGTTCTACACTGTAATACAAGGGTCCCCAACTTTTTTGAGCCTATAGGCACCTTTGAAATTTTTATTTAATTTTACCCTGCCCTCCCAGCCAAGGTCGGCTTACACAAAATCATCATTACGATAGACATAAAATATAAATAAATTAAAACAATTCTAAAACCCTTTAAAGTGCTAGTAACTGCTGTTATTCAGAACTGACTACTGTTATTCAGTTCTCTCATCTCACAGCCAGTTCTTCGATCTTCTTTAATTCGCCTTCCGGTGGCTGGTTCGAGCTGTTGTTGGAATTCCAAGGGGAAACAGGGCTCTCTAACCTCGGCTATCAATACTTAATGGTAGTGGCAGCTCCAAAGGCCTGGTGAAAGAGCTCCGTCTTACAGGCCCTGCAGAACTGCAAGAGATCCCGCAGGGCCCTGATCTCCTCTGGGAGTTCATTCCACCAGAGAGGAGCCGCCACCGAGAAAGCCCTGGCCCTGGTTACTGCCAGCCTGGCCTCCTTAAGACCCAAGAGGGCCAGTCAGTTCTGGGCCCCTGATCGCAGTGCTTTCTGGAGTACATATGAGGAAAGGCGGTCCCTCAGGTATGTAGTACTCTGACCATATAGTGCTTTAAAGGTAAGAACCAGTACCTTGAAGCGAATCCGGTATGCTATCAGCAGCCAGTGCAGTGCTTTTAGCAATTTGATACAGGATGGTGGGTGCAACCACAAAATGGCTGCCACAAGAAGATAAATAGGTTTGCTACTTCCAGTAGAAGAACCACAAAATGTCAGGGAATGAGGTCAGGCATAACTGTTGTTGTTGTTGGGCCCTGATCTCCTCTGGGAGTTCATTCCACCAGAGAGGAGCCGCCACCGAGAAAGCCCTGGCCCTGGTTACTGCCAGCCTGGCCTCCTTAAGACCCAAGAGGGCCAGTCGGTTCTGGGCCCCTGATCGCAGTGCTTTCTGGAGTACATATGAGGAAAGGCGGTCCCTCAGGTATGTAGTACTCTGACCATATAGTGCTTTAAAGGTAAGAACCAGTACCTTGAAGCGAATCCGGTATGCTATCAGCAGCCAGTGCAGTGCTTTTAGCAATTCTGATACAGGATGGTGGGTGCAACCACAAAATGGCTGCCACAAGAAGATAAATAGGTTTGCTACTTCCAGTAGAAGAACCACAAAATGTCAGGGAATGAGGTCAGGCATAACTGTTGTTGTTGTTGTTATTAAATTTATATGCTGCCTCTTGCCACCAAGCAGTCTCAAGACGGATATCAACAGCTAACCCATGAACAGATATCAAAACATAATACAGAACTAAAAGGCAGCACACATAAATAGACCCGACTAATGAAAAGCTAAATGGAAGAGCTGTGCTTTGCAGTCCCTGCAGAACTTGGTATGCGGGCCCTGTGGGACTTCTCTGTCTGACAGCTGGTTCCACCAGGACAGGGCCACCACAAAGAGGGCCCTCATCCTGGTGGGTGCCAGGTGAACATCCTGGGGGCCAGGCACCACAAGCAGGTTGTGGATTGAATAGTAACTCTCAACATTTTAGGCAGAAGATCTCTTTAACAGAATGCCTGTTAAAGCAAACTTACGGTTTAAAGATATTTTCTGGCATACACGCAGCTTCACTGTGTGACTGAAGGTAAGATCTTTGTGTGTAGTGGCAGCTCCTGCCAAAACAACTTTTAAAAGAACTGCACAGCCAATCAGATCTCCGATGGCCAGTCAGAAGCCCTCCTGGGCAAAAGCCTCATCTGGCTCCACATACTTTTAAAAAACACTTAGTGTGCATGTAATGCTTCTTAAATCTCTGTAGATATTTTCTTGGAAACAGAGCACTGTGTGAAACTACTATCTGTATTAAACTACTATTCCTTAGAATCTCTGTTAGTTCACATTGTGTCCTAATTTACCTTCTAATGGTGTTCTACATACCTTGCTTCTCTTCTTCTAGGTCATGTCTTCTCCTTTTTTCTTAGTGCCTGAATGAGCAAGCCATAATTTGTGTAGAAAATACTACTTGCACTCATCAGTGTGGGAAGATTACTTTTTTTGTTTTTATTAATTTTAAGTACTGTGTATCTTTTTTCAAAGTAAAGTTACTGAAATGGGCGACTCTAGTCCTTGCTTCAAGTGGGGAGGGTGGGGTATAAATTTGATAAATAAATAAATGTATCAACAAGCAGGCTCTAAAACCTGCATTTGGTGTGATTCTGTCCTTAAGAAGCTCCCATCTATATTCTACAATCTTGGAAAGCATACAATATTAAAACTTTTGAACAGATTTTTTCTATATATGCTTGTCTCTGCTTTGTGATATGTATACACCATAGTACTGTACTCCTCAACTGATAACCTCTGAGTGAAAGATGTATGAATAATTCTTAGTTTTCCAGTCAACTACTTTCCCTAAATACTGCTTCTGTGTGGCTACCACCGTAGTTTTTCACGACAAACTTGGCTGTCTATTTTGTAGAAAGGACAAACCAGTATGGTTGTTCCCATATTTTTATCTGGGGGGGGGAGGGTTCATACCTTTTGTGTGTGTAAATCTTGATTTAGTAAAGCACAATGGGGGGGAGGTGTGGTACAATTATGTCTAGTGAAATTGTGTAAGGTTCCACTGGGAAGCCTTGGTCTTGTTTAGTATGTATAACCTGTAAACGACAATGCTTGTAACCTGTTTCCATCTTAACGAAAATCAGGACGGCCACCTGGAGGGGTAGTCAAGAAGAAAGCTAAAGCCGGAGGTACTTTGCCAATGGAACTGTAGTGACTTTTACTGTATGCTGTTTTTTAATGTTTCAAATGCATGGGTTTTTGTAAGTGTGTCTACTAAAACTGGATGCTGTTTGCACCAGACAGGAATGTGGTGTATCTTACGTGGAATTTACATGTGCTTGCAACCCTATTGGGAATTACATATGCAACCAGATCCTGTGCTTGCAGTTTCCTGGTTTAGCACAGCACCTAGCACTATGTGCCCAGCCTATTTATTTAAATTTTTAAAACTAATTCTTGATAATCAGCTGGCATGGAGGGGAGAGCAGGAGACTCGATGGAATCTTCTGGCCTGCTGTTCCCTGCCAAGTGGATGTATGGCATAATGCTAGTGTTTTCCTCAGTTATGTCCCTACAGCCACAGCTGCTGAGTGCATGCTTGACTGGGCCAGGGCCTTTGTGCAGACATGTGAAATGAGTATGATCTTGACCACTTTAGCTACTTTGTTGATACTAGTTTTTAATGGCCATTGATATTTTATTTTTCACATGTCTCTATAAAGATCAGTTCTCTTTTATTGTAATGCTATAATACCCTTGCCAATTCCCTGGTACTTAGGTGTTCTTTGTTAGGTGTTTACAATGTTTAACCAACTGATCTATGAGTTGAAATAATTCCTTACATGCCCTACTGCCTGAGTCAAGCAAAGCCATCACTGAATTTATTTTAATATCTTCTAGACTACTGTAATCCTGACAGGGATTTCACTCTAACCAGCCTTCACAAATTTGCATCCAGTTATTGTTAAAAGTAGAATTTATAAAAATAACTGGGAGGTGGGCCAAAATTTGTCTAGGATTGGAATGAGACATTACAACCAATGCTCCCTCTAAGCTGTGGAGTCTTGTGAGCAAAAATTCTACTTTGTGAGCTGCTGGCATTAAAGTTGTGAGTGAGCAATTTGGCTACTGCATAAATTATTTTGCTCTGGCACCATTCTTCCTGAGTTAAGACAAAAATGTGTGAGCTGGAGGCTAAAAAACTGTGAGCTAGCTCACACTAACTCAGGTTAGAGGGAACACTTACAACCTACACTTATCAAGCAAAGAGGAATGTGCAGAGGGAGGGATGGACATTAGTAGGACAGAACCCCTTTCTGCTCCTCTTGGTTCTTTTCTGAAAATATCTGAACTTCATATATACTGTTCCTTGGAATGAAGATTTCCAACAGGGAGATGTCCAAGTATAAGAAAGGTTAAAAACTTGTGTGCTGGTATTTATTTATTTGTTAAATTGGATTTACTAGAGGGCTCAGGGCAGCTTACAACACAATAGTATACAAAATCTGAATTAAAATTAAGCTAAAACAAACCAGTAAATATCAATAAATAAAACAGTATATATACAATATAAAAGATGGCGGAAAAAATTACAGCTCCGCAGCCTCTCTGGGGGGAGGGGTTACAAGGGATTGGGAAATGTTTGAGAGAGCTAAAGGGTGTCACGCCGCTGTCCTCAACCAAAGGCCCAGCGGAATATCTCTGCCTTACATGCCCTGTGGAAAGATAACTCCCGCAGGGCATGGATGTCTTCCGGTAGAGTGTTCCACCAGGCGGGGGCCAGGGCCAAGAAAGCCCTGGCCCTGGTCGAGGACAGCTGGATTTCTCTTGGGCTTGGGACCACCAGGAAATTCTTATTCCTAATGCTCTTCCAGGGACATACTGGGAGAGGCGGTGCCAAAGGTATGTAGGTCCCTGACATACATTTGTTTGCAAATATTCTGTTTCCGTTGTAACATCTACTATAACTGTGAATTTTGAAATCTGCAATGAGTGCATGTGTGTGTGAACTTCAACATCTTTGCATGGAAGCTAATAAATGGTTGGATTGAGATTTATTTGAGTTATTCTTTTATCATAATGAGAAAGTCCATGTTACTAAACATGTAATTAAGGGCTGCCATAGTCTAGTTCCTCAAATCCAGCAGGCTGGTTATGCAGTCTGCCAGTTATGCAACTATAGCACATTAATTGCTGCATGGACCTATCATCTGGTGCCAGAAGTAGATTGAGGTATCACAGCCTCTATGCTTATTGCCCCTTTACGCAAATGTGTCATGTGTATAAGGCTAGTCTTCTTTCTGGAAGAGATGTAGCCTGCTTATCAATTATAACTGATTTCCATCATTGCCAAGAACAATGGAAGGTGGCAGTGAACTTGTTTCTTGGAAAACAAAACGTTCTTTACACAGAGCATGATTAAAATGTGGGATTAGCCACTAGAATAGACAGTTTTAAAAGGGGATTAGACAGGTTCTTGGAGGATAGGTCTATCAGTGGCTAGTAGCCATGGTGACTGAGCGGAACTGCCACATTCAGAGGCTTTTAACCTCTGAATCCCAGTGCCAGGAGGCAACATCTGGGGAAGGTCTCATCCTCTATGTCCTGTTGTTGGCCATCCAGAGGAACTGGTTGGCCACTGTGTGAGACAGGATGCTGGACTAGATGGACCATTGGTCTGATCCAGCAGGGCTGTTATGTTCTTACATTCTTAATTGCATGGGCACTGGGTGGCATCCCAAGAATACAGTGAAAACCGAGGAAACCAGTCCTTAATGGTAGTCCTAATGTAAGGAAGCAATTCATAACTGTTCAGTTTTTATTATATCCCACAAGCCAATCAGAAGCAGGAAAAAGCACTTCTGTAAAATTAATTACCTACATAAAATCTCAGCATACATCATTCATCTTAAAATAAGTAATAGTTTATATGTTAGAATCCAAGTATGTATAAACACTCTGACCTGCATAGCTCAGGCTACCCTGATTTCATCAGATCTGGGAAGTGAAGCAGCGTCAGACCTGTTTAGTATTTAGATAGCAGACCACCAGGTAAACCTAGGGTCATGATTCAGAGGCAGGCGATGGCAAACCACCTCTGAACATTTCTTGCCTTGAAAAGCCTATGGGGTTGCTATAAGTCAGTTGTGACTTGAAAGCACTTTCCACCACCTCCAGTTTATATAGAAGATGTTAACTTGGCCTGTATTTTCATTACAGAAAACAGAAACTTAGTCACAGATACACTAGTTCTTTGGTCAGTCCATCCATAAGGTTTTGAGAGTATTCTGCTCAGAGAACATCAACCAACGCAGGTTCTAATAAATCCAAGTAGGCTTGTACATATAATCTACACTGGAATGTATGTGAACCAATGTTTCAATCAGGTTAGCAGAGCAAGGACAGAAACTATGTGAGATGGAGTGTTATTGTATCTTCCTGTCAAGAGTTCCCACTGGATATGTTCTCCGAGTTTTTAAACTTAATAGAGATGTATATCTCCTTTCTTCCCCTCTCCAAAGTAATTTTATTAAGTTTGTGTGTTTACAAGAACTTTTTGCTGTCTTATATACTCACACTATATCTAACTTGCAATATGTCCAAGTGGGAATTAAGATCACTCTTCTGTATATTCTGCTGGCAAGATATGATATCTTCAACAGAGTTCTTGTATTTGCAGAGGGGGCTTCTTTTACAATAGAAAAAAGAACTGAACAGACTATTTCATTTGTTTTTTCTATTGTAAAAGAATTTCCATCATTTATAGTCTGCCTTTTTCACTGGAACCCAAGGCAGATTACACAGAGTGGGTCCATACAGTCAACAGGATGGGACATTCAGTAAACCATGCAATAGGGTTAGGGTTGTAGAACCAACTAGAAATCTAAAAACAGAGTTGAAGCAAAGTGTAAATATGAACATGACATATTAAATGTTGCAAAATTACATAGTAGGATCCTGCTATTTGTTATTTCATTAAACTTAATGAACAGCAAGTGATGCACAGTAGTATAGACCACAGTGCTGAATTAATTATCCAAGTAACTTTGTGAATCATTTTGTCCTTATATCTTACAAATTATGCTTTAAAAGTGTGTAAGTTAGATCCAGGCTGCTTCAACATGGTGGTGGGAAAAGCATGAGACTAACAGGAGATTTGAGACTTTATGAGTGAGCAAGGTGAAGGGGGGCAGAGATGAGGACCAGATGCCCTATCCACATGCACTTGCTTCTGTATTGCCCCCCCCCTTTCTGTCATGCTATTGCAGAAGTACTGATATAATGCATATCTTTCTGGGCTTTTCTGCAGACCAGCAATTTCCGCCTTCATAGCTGAGCCAGCACTCAGAGGTGAATGGGCGGGGGGAAGCCTGCTAAGGGACTAGAGTGCAAAATCAGCACTTAACCCTTATCATTTTGAAGGCAGAGTTTAGCTCTTTCCCCAGAAAGCTGTGACAGCCTCACATGTCATGCTCAAAAAGAGCATGGCATTGTTGGAAGCTCCCTCAAAATATAGGGGTATACTGTATTCAGTCTGAGGAAAAATCTATCTGCGGAAGTAGCCATGGTGGGTGATTTTGCTTAGTACTCTCTTCATTTTCCTCTACTCATAAATCTAGAACATTCTAAAAATATCTTAAATAGTAGTGCAGATGTCAGGAGATGAAATAAAGCTATTTGGGGGTGATAGAGAAAGCTAGACAGAAAAGGCAACTTTTTCATGTCTACCAAATTCTCACCCAGTGGTCTCTGGATTTTGAGTTGGACTTAGAGTCTTTTCTTATCAGTGTACTTCCTATTTTATTGCATTCATATAGCCTGTGATCTTACTTGTTCAACCATGGATAATGATATTACAGAGATCCTGGAAGAGCTTTGTTTCATGAGGCTCTTGGGTTCCAGTTTCATGTATGGGCTATGCTTATAAGTAACCCACCCTGTGGTGCTTGCTTATGAGTAATATGCTTCTGTTCTTTGCAAGTGTCTACCTGCAGTTTACATGAACAGAACATTCCAGGAGGATGGGGGAGAAAAATAGGACTGGAGTACTTTTGTCTCCTTCTAATGAAGCTCCTATGACACTTAATAAAGCCATCACATTCTGTGGTGTACAATACATTAGTATTATGCCTGTTCATTAGATCTGTTTCTAAGAATAAAACGTCTGCTAATTTTTAGACACCTCCATTTCTGTTCAACAATTTCTAATGAAAGATCATGAGAACAAAACTTTTCAACCAAGTATTTTATCAAACTGCATGTGGCATTTTTAAATAGGTTTACTTTTGATCAAGTGCTTGCTGAGTAACTTTACAAACCTGTGTTTACAGTTTGAAAAGTTTCAAGTGGCATCAAAACAATCTGAGATCTATCTTCAGAATTTTTTTTAACACTTCAAAGTATGCAAGTTTTTAACACCGTTCTCCAGGTATTACTAATACTGTGTGGCCAGGTTCTTTGGAAATGAAAATATGAGTTTGATCTGGAGTTTGGAGTGGTGATATGCATTTGGCTTGCTAAAAGTGTGTCTCTTAATATATGTTCCTTAACAAAAAATTTCCCCTTTTTTAATGGGAAAAAATGAAAAGCAAAAGAGATCAAAGAACCAGCAAGGAAAGAGAAGCAAGAATTAAAGAAGGAAAGCAAAGATGAAGAAAAGAAGAAATTGAAGAGGAAAACTGATGACTTGGACAAAAAAGATAAAAAAGCTGCTGACAAAGCCAAGAGAGATAAAAAGGCTGAAAAGGAGAGATCAGGGCTAGACAAAGCTGTCAAAAATAAAGGAACAGCAAAGGAATTAGATAGTGGCAAAGATAAAGATATGAAAAAGATAGCTAAGAACCTTTATAGAGTGTCTGAGAGTTCAGCAAAGGGAGAAGAGAAGAGAAAAAGAGTAAAGGGATAATATTTTCCATAACTGAATGATCGCGAGAGAACTATTGGTCGTGAGAAAATAATGCACAAGGGAAATTTTTATGAATTTGTTGGAATAAACAAAAATTACAAAGCTTTTGCAGAAATAGCCTTAGTATATTGTATGTCTTGACTACTATGAAATTCCACTTTGTACATAGTGTATCTGATCATTAACTCTTCTACATTCTTATTGTACTGAGATCAGTTATCCTTGTTTTTGGTACCTTATCTGACACTTAAGGCTAATAAAGGAAAAGTTTGAAATACTTGAGAGTAATATTTGTGTGTGTGTGTGGGGGGGTATCAAATAGAACATGGGACCTTTTTGTGCTAAACTCATAGTGATGACATCTTTCATTAAGATGCATAGCATTTTTCAAAGTAAACCAGATCTCTGCTAATTATTGAGGAATTATGCATGGAATCACAAGATGATAAAGTTATCAGTGGACCAGTAAATAGAACAATTATAGTTATAAAGCTAATTATTATGTTGACTTTGAGTTATACTTCTAGGAAATTATTTTCTTAAAAGCCATGGTTCTTGCTTCCTGCTCTGTGGGAAATGGGATGCGCTATTCCATTTTTCCAGGTTTTAAATAAATGGTTGACATTTAATAATCTGTAGAAAAGACTTAGAATACAATTAAATTACTACTTGGCTATTTAACAAAGAAAATCACTTAAGTGGAAAAAGTATTATGAAACAATAACCTGGAAGATATAAGCAGGAATAGGTGGGACTGCAATCAGTGTAAGCACTGGAGATTAATGACTGGAGCTTATGCTGTGTTTTCTGGTCCTAAAATAAGATGTACTGTGTGGGTAGTAGGTACAGCTTTTGGCAGATAAAAATAAAACACAGTTTCCAGTGTGATCCTGAGAAACATTTCTAACTATCACAAGGTATGACAGTTTGTATAAGTGCAAATCAGTGACAGAGAAATGAAGGATGGAGTAAAATGTAGAATGATTGGAACAACATATGTCCTCCTAGCATTAATATCAAGCACTACATTTTTTCATTCAGTTAAAATCTGTTTTTAAGTCCAAGATGACATTTCACTGTATGCAGAGATGAGTCAAAGAGACTGGGGTTGGGGGTGGATTTTGTAGCAATATACAGAGACTCACTCTTGGATACATTCAATGTTAAACTGCACAACAACAGTAAGTATTGACAAGTTAATGGTTATTTTTAATAACTCACAATAACATTAGCAACATTAGTCTAAAAATCCACATTTTCTTTAAGCAAAAGTGATTTGTGCTTTTGGTATGCATCCTTATACACTGGCCTAATCCATGTTCATAAAAAAGTCATTAGGTGGAACCAGTAAGAGAAAAAGGTATTCCTGAAAATCAGTCACATCTGTCATGGTTGTAGTATGAATGGGAATATAAAGATTTTTTAATATAGTTTTTTCTTCTTGATTGTTTATATTCATATTTTTTCTTGGTTTTATGGATTTCTCTTTTAAGTAATATTTTATTAGAATGTAAGAAAGGCCTGTTATATAGAAGGCTTTCCCCTTGTAGGTCTGATATTGCTAGCAGACAAGATAATAGGTTCAAAGTTCATGATTCTGTAGTTCTTAAGGGCAAAACTTTGCAATGTCTGGGTCAGAAAAGATTTTGGTCTTGTATCAGGAAAAATACACTTTTGTTTAGGGTATGAAGAATCCTTGCCCATTATCATTTTAGGTTAGGTTAAGTAAACACTGAGATTTTACATAGGTACATCTCTCTTTACATCTGGCCAATCAAAAGATTATTACTCAAATTACCATTGTCTTTTATAACCAATTATGCTTTTTGAATATTGTTTTCTTGATGATGTCAGTCCATGTATAAAAGATCATGTATTTCTTGAATATAAAAAGAAGAAAGCATATTTCTTGAATATGCTGAGAAAAAACAATCAATTTTTGATGAGTTATTTGGTCCAATTGTTTTTCTGTTAATTGAAATAAAACATAGATCTTCCTCTTCGTTTGACTTCATTTTTGACATGGAACCTAATATGTACAACATGGTCTTCCACCCAGTCCTGTCCTTTAGAAGAACCACCAACTTATTTGTATATTTGAATGAACTTAATGTGCTGCGAGGCCCACCTGCTTACCCTAGCCGTAGGGTTGCCAAATCGGTCTTCTGCTGGAGTGGGGGGCTCCTGGCCGGTGTCTGGTGTGTGTGTGTGCGCGCCGCATGCACGTCACCCGGAAGTGACGTGACGACAGCAGGCACGCTGTGGGCGGGGCCATGGCCATATGAGGGAAAACCATAGAGTTTTCCCTCGGATTGCCATGGTCCCGACCCCAGCGTGCCCGGCGTGGTCGTGTCACCTCTGGGTGACGCGCACGTCGGGGTGGAGTTCCCCCGGGGGGACTTGGGAAGCCTACCTAGCCGTCACACATTGGATGTAACATTGTGCAATATGACAATCCAACTTTATCTGTATCTTTGTATTTTATATTTCATTTTGATGTTTGTTTTAATAAAGATAAAAAATGGCAACTAACTTTTACCTCTAGACATGAGAGATCACAATCACACATACTAGGTTTCCATACCATTTAGATGTTACATTCAGCACATGAAACTTTTGATGTAGTTTGTGCATTTACTACATTTTTGTGAATTTATGTATACTCTTAGAATTAATCAGACTTGTTCTGAAAACCAGTGTGCATTTATTTTGCAGCTGAGTATACAGAGACTGTATTAGTTTATCACTGAAATCAAGCACTTGCACACATTCTTGTATGAAGTGGGACACTGAAGAAAATATCAAATTCTATTTCTTGATAGTTCCTGAGAATCCTAATTGTTATCACATTTTCTTTAACTGTGTCTGTTCTAGAAGAATAATGGAAAGATGAGTGAAAATCACAGCATAGCGTACTTTATTTTCTATGGCAGAAGCAATTAGGAAATTCTGAAAATACTTTTCTGCACCTCTCATTTGCTTCAGTAAATAAAAGAAGTTTCTAATAGCTTTTACACCAAGATTGTAAATATGTATATGTTGCTCCTTGAAAATGCTTCTCACTACTTGATTTATGGTGGAGGGCAGACAGGAATGAGGGAAGAGAGGGAGTAAATTGACATGCAGTATGGAGACAATTGACTGGAAATGTTGAATCTTCTGTTTCTCACAACAGCCCAATAGATATTAAAGTGGCTTTTTATAGTAATAGTACTACTTACTGATGTGCTAAATAATTGCAGTCCATAAGCCTCTATAGGCATCCACTGACCTTATTTGGAAATATTTCCCCAGAAGCAACCCTCTACCAATCTAACGAGGTATATTTTGAATTCCTCTGGTTTGTGCAGCCATTACTTTAAAAATAAAACAAAATACATATACAAAATCAGTGTACGCCTTTTAAAGAGATTGTTTCTCTTTAACTATTCCTATACAAAACTGATTTTTAAATTTGGGAATTTAAACTATAGTTTGGGGTGTTAGTAGGAATGGCAAGATCCAGTCTATGAATAGACATTGTATACCATCCTCCTTAGGGACTTTATTCTCTTACTCATATCTAGCCAAATCAAAATGATGTACCCAAAAAGCTGAACTTAACTTTATAACTGAACAATGCAGGACTCAAAGAAAGATCTGTCCTTGAACAGCCAACACCAAGAGATGCTGAAGAGGTGATTCAGCAGCCTGCAGAGCAGTCGCACATTAGAACAGGTAAGTCCTCCAACAAAATCACAGAAAAATAAATCACATTGTTTCATTTGCTTCTTCTGAGTGCAGATCATTATAATGTCTGATCTCTAGTAACATATTTCCCCCGCTACACTATATCAATGGTTTGCTCTAATCTTAATGAGGCATTCCCAAATGTGTGAGAAAATAATGTAGGCCTCTTCCAGTGTGGTCTTTACCACCATAAGAATGCTTTTAAAATTATTCCAGTCACCCACAGATGTACACAATGTCATATGTGAAGTTGAACCTACGTGGGTGTTTCATGAAAGATCAGTGAATAGAAAGAATCTAGGCACTGTTGAAATTTGTTCATTAGGTAAATGAGCTTCAACTCCTTCAGCATGCATGCTCCTTTTCCCTTGCACATGGATCCCCAATTTGAAGAATTTTAAGGAAGTTTTCGAACTAATTCCAGAGTGGTGTGACACCAAATTGAAGAGTCTTAACAAATTGAAAACGGTTTCTTTCCCAGTAATTGGAATTCTAAAGCATGCTTTAATCCTTGTTTAGTGTCCAGGTAACTGCAGAAGAAACAGCTGCCAGTTTGTTCAGGAACCCACATTCAGATTTCACAATAATTTTGACTTAGAGTGAAAACTTCCTAAACCAGGAAGTCTTCAGCTGTAGCTCTGTGCTTGTGTGAGGAGAGGAGGGCTAATGCAAGGCCAAGGATTAGAGCCTGCTTCATGACACAAACTAACTGTGGTCTCTTTTGCAGCGATTTGTTTCTGATTCATGAATTCTTGTAAGGGCTTCATATGCATGCATATACAAGGGTGTCTATGATGACCCCGTCCTCTTCCCTCCCTCAGAGGCATGATTTTCCCTCCATTTTTCTTTCCCTTCTGTCAGTGAGTCACCTTACCTAGTAATGTGTTTTCTTCTTTGCTGAAGAACTCTGGCTGTCCCACTCTGTCACAGTACAATATTTTACTGCTGGCTTAGCCCAGGAACCTGAGAGAACCATTGGGATTGCCCTTTAACTTAGACCACTGAAAATGGTACTTGAGATGTTTTAAAATTCAAAATTAGCAAAATATTTTATTCAACGTAGAAGGGAAAGGTCAGGTGAAATCAGGGGTTGAAATTTCTGAAGTAACTCAATATATATAACTCTGAGGTAAAACCAGTACATGCACAGACTTTAGTTCTTATGTTTTAGGCTAATGAGAGTTTCTTAAGCTATTCACAGTTACTTAAATCTTTATATTTAGAGGCTTTTGTTCCATTGTTTTCTGAAACATTCTAGTGCACTTTCTTTGAGTATTCTCTGACTTTTTTGGGTTCCAGAAGGCTGGTGCACTCAGCACGCTTTCCAGTACCCATTCCCCTTCTCTTGAAACACCAGTACTTGTCTTGAGTTTTTAACTGACTCTTAAGGTTTCTACAGGCAGCTTCTAACCACACCAGACCAAAGGTCTCCTCACTTTTCAGAGCTAACTCTCTGTTTGACTGGGTAGAGAAATTCTCCTCTCACTAGAAGATCTATCCCCTTTCTTTGGCCTGAATGGGAGTCCTCGCCTACTTCCCAAACTTCCTTGCCAATTCCCCCCCCCCCCGTTCTTCTGTCTGTGTTAAACTGCTCTCAGTCAGGGCTGAATTCCAAAACAGTACTCGACTCTTCTCAGCTAGGGCTGAAATCAGACTGAATTCAGTCAAGGCAGAAATCTGTTTCCTCAGCATGCAGCACTCAAGCCTTTCTCTGCTCAGCTGATGCTTATCAATCAGATTGCTTGGTGCAGCCTATCACTCAAGGTTCTCTGTTTCTGTGAAGAATTAACCATTCACAGTCCTTCAGCTGTTTATACAGCACTTCTAAACTTCTTAAAAGTGCAGTCTGTCACAGTGCCATTTTCAATATATCATCCATAGAGTCAGATAATGTAAAAGTGAATCATGTCAAAGGTTTAAAAAACCACTGTGTCAGTTCAGATGTAAAATTCTGCATTATTGGGTGGCTGCTATAATCTTACTTGGATGCATATTTATTAAAATGTTACTATAACCAGTTATCCATTCACCATTTTGTACTCCAGCATAAGCTGAATCTACCCAGTAACTCCATCTAAAACACTATGAAGTACTTTCAATAGATGTGTTTTATAATATCAGACTTAACAATTCCCTTATCTTTACCATAGTAATACACTGAATTCTTTTCTGTACTTTCAGGGCTGGAATACTGTAAAAAGAAGGGGGCATTTTCAGTAATGAAGTGGGCTCAGTTTTCAAACTGTAGGTGTGTGATGCTTAAAACAGCTGTACCTTTAACAAGTTCCCTGATGCAACTGATTGACTACCATGTTCAGTATGCACTAATTTATTAGTTCACTGTTATGTAGAAATATTCTGTTGTCCACAAAGGTATATACAAATGATTTGAGACATCTGAGTTCACCAATACTCAGAACTTGTAAGTGGCTGTTGTCACCTGCTCACTCTTTGAAACCACATTGTGTACATTGCACTCCCTTCTTTTGCATTATGGAGACTTTGGTCATCTATTGATTAAATTGGCATATAAGTAAAAACCAGTAGATTTTGGAATGAAAGGCATAGATGACCATGTATGTAGCAGATCATCTTCAAGGAGACATGTATTCCTGTGTGTGGTAATAGGAGGAATATCTCCCCCAAGATAGTGCTTGCCATCTGTAGTTTTTAGAAGTACGTGTATTTTAATTTTATATTTTAAAGTCCAATGTTTGTTGGAAGCACTTTCTTAATCGAAAGGCTTTTAAAGTACCTAACGACTTAATTAGTTTTGTAGCCCTATTTATCTCTTCAAACTAAATTAAAGTTAAAAGAATTAATAAATTGTTATTTTTGTTTTTAAATTTAAGCAGTGCATTTAAAGACAATTATTAAAAGAAGATAAGGGACATACCTTCCCTCATCAGTGACAGCTGCTCCCCCTCCCTTCTCGTGGCTTAGTCCCTCCTCCCTGAGGGCCCTGCTCATAGGGGAGGGCGGCTGCTGGCAGCTCTGGGGGCATGGCGAGCACATTGCAGCTTTCCCCCAAGGGTGTAGCACTTGGCCTGGGGTTGGGGGCTGGGAAAATTGAGTCCCTGGGTGTTTTGACTCTTTTGGGTGCAAAGGCGCCTTGTGTTTGGGCCTGGGGAATGCTTTGAACCGGCTTGGGGGGGGGGCTGGGACATGTGTGAAATAGAGTGCAGGCTTTTTGCTGTGCAAACTGTACAATGCTTGTGCTAACATGGTATTTTTAAACACCCCTTAGTGCAGACTGCCCCTCAGGGGTCTTTTGGCCGACTCCAGAGAGCCCCCACCCCAGAGAGATGCCCCCCTCCTGACAGAGAGTGCAGTGTTAGTGCAGACTGGCCTCCCTCCTCTCCAGGACCCCCCTTTGGAGCCCCCCTGAGAGCCCAACAGACCTCTTTAAGCTCCCAGGCAGAGAGGCAGATCCTGGAGCTCCCCCTTCCTTCCTCCCCCTGCAAGCCTCAGAGCCACGCAGCTGGGGACTGGCAAAGGAAAACAAGTGTCCTTTTAAAAAGTCCTACCCTTCTGTTCTGGCCCGGAGCTGATAATCCGGCAGAGCCAAGAAGCAGAGAGAGCCCCCACCTTTCCCCCATACACACAGGTAGGGCTGCCAAGTCCCCCCAGGGGGCGGATTTCCCCCCGCTTTGGAGGCCCGATTTCTGCCGCCGCGGAATCGGGCCCCGGGGGAAACCCCACCCCGGCATGCACGTCAGCCGGAGGTGACGTGATGACGCCGGGCACGCTGGGGGCGGGGCCACAGCCATCTGAGGGGAAAACTCTGTTTCGATACTTTTACAGGGTCTTCCTCCTCCTGACCCGTCTTAGGTTCATCCTTTCTCACATCCACCCGGTCCGTTGCCTCAACGTCCGTCCTCGGGAGCTGGATCCTTCATGGGGGTAGCCTCTTTCACGGGTTCAGGCTTCATTTCTTCATAAATGGATTTGTCTCCGGCATCGGCTTTCCCCCCATCCATCTCCACAGGTGCCATTTCCTCATAAATGGGTTCTGCCATGGGTCCTGGAAATCCAACAGCAGCAGAAGCAGGCACTGTGGTGGAGGGTGGACGGCTCTCCCATTTTTAAAGAGAGGGCCTCGCGCTTATTGGCCTGTTTAAATGTTGTCGTGGGGATGCACCCTGTGATGTGGGGTGTAACGGCCCTCTTTCCCCATCCTACCTCACTGGGCTGGCGTTGGGAGGAATCTATGCCCTAACAACCCCAACCCTTCTGAAGAGGGTTAGTTTTATCCCTCCCAACCCCTTGTCTCGTTCTGCATACACTTTTTAATTTCACAATATTGAGAAATAGTGGTCAAGGATCCCCCTGTTTAATTCAATTTGACTCCAAAAAACTGAATTTCAGCCGGTCCTACCCGTAAAAACACATTTTTTTGACAAAGCATAGGGCTTCCACAGTCAGAGGAAATCTAAAAACATTTCCAGCCATGGAACTTTTTTTTAATGTACAGGGCGGTTGGCTATTTTTTTAAAAAAATGGGGCAGCTGGAATCCTTATCTAATCTAGCCAGAGACAGCCCAACCCTGACATGGCCTGCCTAGGGTTAAAAATCCCTAGGTTTTAGAAACAGGTTATAATTTATGAATTGAACAGCAAGTTTAAAACAGCCTTGCTACCATGGCGCCTATTTTTAAAAACGTTTTCAATTAGGAACCCCCCAAACATTTATTTATTTTATTTATTTATTTACATTCGGCTTGATATCCCGCTCTAGTCCCATGGTTAGGGTCTCTGAGCGGCTTACAGGTTTTTCTGGTGATAATCACCATTTATCCCTAACTAGGGCCACAATGTATGTAAGGGGGATGGGACAGCCTACCGGCACCCCCTCTGTGGTGGCTATTGTTGATGTTTCTCCGTCGGCTCGGCTCGGCATGGTCGGGTCTCTGGGCTCAGCGGGGGTGTTTTTTTCTTCTCTGGCGTTTCTTCTCCGGCGTTCGGTGGGGCGATCTTCTCCTAAGGCGCGCAGCTTCGCCTGCTTCCGGCCCGGCAACGTCCTTTCCGGCTCCGCTGGGCCGGTGCTCGGCATCTGTGCACGCCCCTTTCTCTTTATGGCAGCCTTACGGCAACATACAGTAGATCCATAGAACTTAGGCTTCACTCACTTTCTGTCTTGCTCTGGTCCACTCCCTTCTAGTCTGGGAATTTTTCTGCATACACAAAGGGACATCTCACACACTCCCTTTTTGATTTTATTGATTTATGCAAAACCGTTCATTTTTACTGAACACCACTTTTACATTTCATGCACACATTGCACGAAAAAAGAGTCCAGCAGCACCTTAAAAACTAGTACCGCTACACATCTTGTACATCCTCATTGCAAGCAACATGATTGTGCAGCATTCATTCCTTCATAAAATGGGCCCTTCCATGGCATTTTAAAGACAACACCCCATTCCCTACCTAAGAAGCTATAATCATTTTACTTTATTTCACCAGAGCCTGCTCTTTTTCTCTCTCTTCAATGGGGAGGGGAGGAAAATAACTAGAGAAGGGTGAAAATGACCAGAGAAGGGGGAGGGTGGGGAGCACTGGCTCCTGCCAGACCCCTGCCAGGCTTTGCATGTTAGTCAGTTTCACTCTGCAGCTACCAGTACAGGCTATGGCGTGGAGAAATGATCTCCCTTTTGGGGCTGGCGTTGGGCAACCCCCCTCCTCCTTTCCTTTGCAGGAGAGGTGGGGTGTGTGTGTTCGTATCTTCCAAGCCATGATGTCTTGTTTATCCATGCAAAGCACATGCCTCTCTGTCTGACAGTTTGCAGGCTGTCAGCTGTGAATTTTGTCAGTGTTTAAAAACCGTGAGCTGCCATTGGCTCCTTTGAAACTCTAAGCACGCCCCTCTCTGCCCTGTCCTATGAGGGTGTGAAATTTTCAATGCCTGTGAAAGCGAGCGCTGACATTGGCTGGTGGGAATCTTTAGCCCAGCCTCCCTCCCACCCACCAGACACTGCGCCACCTCATTCTTAGTCTCTCTGCCTGCTAGGAACACACACAGAAATTGCTTTTAACAGCATTTTTGCCCTGAAGGATTTTATTTCTTTTAAAAAGGAAGGAAACAGGAAGAGTGGGTAGTTTTGGGAAGGGGGCTGGCATTCTGGCTGTCCACAGTAAGTAAAATTCTGTTGCTGTGTGTCTTTAAAAAGGCAAACTCCTGCTTTTAAAATGGGGCTAGAACTGGGGGGCTGCTTGCTTGGAGCTAACTAAAGATTTTCTCTCTGTGGGGCAGGGGGAAAACGTTTGCAGAAGGGGATTTTTAAAAACCTAAATGGCATGTCAGGGAAATGTGTGCTTCATTAGAGAACTTTGTTTAAAGACTCTGTTTAAAGTTTTTTCCTGTGTGTGGGTGTGGGGGGGAAGGGTGGGGGCTCTCTCTCTCTCTCTCTCTGTGGAACCCGAGACTAGAATTCTTTTCTGCTAAGGGAGGGAGGCTGATTTCTCCCCTTGACTGAATTTGCAGTCAAAATATTGGTCTCTTGAAGAGGAGGGGGGCCAGTCTGCACTAACACTGCGCTCTCTGTCAGGAGGGGGGCATCTCTCTGGGGTGGGGGCTCTCTGGAGCCAGCCAAAAGACCTCTGAGGGGCAGTCTGCACTAAGGGGTGTTTAAAAATACCATGTTAGCACAAGCATTGTACAGTTTGCACAGCAAAAAGCCTGTACTCTATTTCACACATGTCCCAGCCCCCCCCCCAAGCCGGTTCAAAGCATTCCCCAGCCACAAACACAAGGCCCCTTTGCACCCAAAAGAGTCAAAACACCCAGGGACTCAATTTTCCCACCCCCCAGGCCAAGTGCTACACCCTTGGGGGAAAGCTGCAATATGCTCTCCACGCCCCCAGAGCTGCCAGCAGCCGCCCTCCCCTACGAGCAGGGCCCTCAGGGAGGAGGGACTAAGCCACGAGAAGGGAGGGGGAGCAGCTGTCACTGATGAGGGAAGGTATGTCCCTTATCTTCTATTAAAGATTGGGAACAGCATAGATTACTTCAACAAAGTTATTTTTTTAACATTTAAACAGTGAAGTTTCAAACCCCACATTCTTCACCATGAAAACTTAAATAAACAAATAAAAACTTAGAATAAACAAAAACTGTATGTTAGAATTAACGGAATCAGTACAGTATATTAAAGTATGCTCAATTTGCATATTTTTCCTAAGCTTGTTTTTTGGATCTTTGCAAGAGCTGACTTGTCATTTTAGCTTTGTTACTGCAGAAAACATATGCTTGTTACTGCAGAGACATATGAACAAATGACAATCAGTGAAGGTAGTGTTGGTAGGGAACTAACAAAAGACCATGAGGAAAGGGTACATAGTCTGCAAGAGAACAGAAGTTCTTTTCTTCCAGCACACTGACAAATTCACATCTCTGTTCCTCATATTTTCAAATATAGCTCTATACACATGAGGGCTATAACTATACTTTCCCCCAAAGCTTATAGGATTGTAAGGAACATTGTGGATGAACAGGTGTATGAAAAGTTGCCAGTACTGCATCAAATTTAATAAAATTTTCTGTGGACAGGTGTAGTGCTAGAATTTAAAACCTAGGCTGCTATGCGAAGAGCCCAGTTATGCCTATGAAAGGCCTTTGTGCATGAAATGGGCTTTGGCACTTTTTTCTTACAAGTAATAGGCACCATCCTGCATTACAATCTGCCTCTGAAAATCCCCCTGGGTTCAAAACTGCCTCTTATGTGGCATGGAGGACTTATGCTTTTTATTGTCTGTTTTTAAAGGTACATGATCTGTTGTACATTTAGAACTAAGTATTCACTTCTCTAGATCTTATAGGAAAAGGCTTGTAGAAAAAGAATGAGAGGCTCATCCCTTAGTATTAGAATCTAACGTAGTCTTGCGTTTTTAAACAATTTGGAGTCTGTTAGCTAAGAGGTGAAGAACTATGAATAACTCCAGCAAAGGGCTGGAGAGTGGAATATGAGTGGAATACATTCTGAGCCATGTTCATGCCCAGGAAAAGTTCTGCCTCTTTATGCTTTTTACAGACAACACCTGCTCATTTTCAGGCCTATTGTTTCAATAAAAAGTAAAACAAAGTCCCTGAGGAATCCAAATAGTTCAACAGATAATTGATCCTGTGCAAGTTATGAACAGAACGTGAGAGATGGACTCCAGTCAGTCCTCTAGACCAGGGGTCCCCAGTATGGTGCCAATGAGTGCCATGGCGGCTGCTGACACCTTTCCTGATGCCCTCCAAGTAGTTTTAGAAAGTGGGAAGGGTTTGGTGGGGCAGTTGCCCAGCAGGCCCAGTAGGGCCTCTGATTGGCTGTACAGATCAAAAGGCATCCTGTTAACCAGAGCCTCTACCTGAGACCAAATTGCCGTGATTAGAGTCTTGTGTTCTTGTGGCAGCCATTTGGTTATTGTGCCCACCACTGTGTCAGAATTCCAAAGGTGCCCACCTGCTCTAGACTAAACACCTGCTTTAGTTTCTTCGAGAGCAAAGATTGAGTCCAGTGGCACCTTTAAGACCAACAGAGTTTAATTCTGGGTATAAGCTTTCGTGTTCATGCACACTTCATGCTTCTACTGGGTTTGTAAAATGAATATTTTGAAAAGTCCTTTGGTTATTGCAGTCTGATCCTTGACTGAATAAAAGTTAGGATGGATTGGGCCTTTAACTTACCAGGAAAGTTCCCAGTAAGCCACTGCCCTGCAGTGCTGTTGATGCCGGGAGCAGCCTAGCTGAGCCCCACAAAGCTGTTGACTCTAACCTGGTCAGCTGAGATGCAGGAGGAGGTAGATAAGCCATTGTTACTGGCTGGAGCCAAGCCAAGCAGCCCCAGTGATTGGCTCAACTTGGGCCTTTTCAACATGTTGATCCTCTCTGATGACTGTTTTGTACATCACTTTTAGAAGAAACATGTCCAGGTATGGTAAACTTAACTAAATATGCTCACTTTTGTTTATAAATTAAAAATTATAAATTAAAATTATTGTAATTTTTTCCCCTGGTTTTCAGTTATTTCCAGTTCAGCCTTTTTCCCCCTCTTACTTTTTGTTGAATTCTGTAAACTAATGTAGAACACAGGAGTGCTGAAGAAGAACCTGAAGATGAAATCCAATCTCTGCTGCGTGAAGCTCTCAACTTACAACTTGGTATGGATTTATAATTTGCAGTTATTCATGTAATTTCTGTTTTCCGTTACAAAATTACTATATTTGCCACTATTTAACTCTATTGGGTTGTGACCACTAACCCTTCTTTGTATTTCAATGAATATAATGTATAGTTTTGAATATAGTTGTGAATCGTAGATGGTCTTCCGTTGGGGGATATTGTTTATGACTATTTAGAGAGCAACAAGTTATTTTTATTAGAGAAAGACAGTGGACAGTTAGTTACAGATCTTTTTGAGTAATAGTGGTTAATGACTGGTTTTTCTTACCCATTTGGCCAGTAATACCAATAGACATAAATATCTCCTGATATTTATATTATAAACACCATCCAACTGATGTTAAGCACCTTTCCCACTGAAGATGTAAGTGCATGCTTTGCTTCTCTCCCTCTGACATCAAAAGGACTAAAAGTGGTTAACTTTGGCTGGGTTGCACTTATGTTCGTTTTTAATAGGGATAACTGAGACAAGCAGTTGAAATGTTTAGCTTTCTGTTCAGATGCTACTTATATATTTTCAATGTTTTTGTTAAAAAGGAGAAACAGATGAAGAACATGAACATGAAGGAACACAATTTCAGCAGGAGGAGAATATTGAAACACCAGAAGATACTGTTGAAGTTCCTGTGGTAGAGGAGAACTATGATAGGGAATTGGAAGATAAAATGCCAGACATATTAGCAACCCTAGAATCCTTCCAGGAAGGTATCTGAAACATTGAGAGTATCAAGCATATTTTTCATGCATCTGTGCAACACTGGGCATTATTTTCTGATCTGTATCAGAGAAATGATTTTTTTTTAATATTTTGGGTATCCTGCATTTCCTAGGATCTTTGCTGTACTATGTGTACTAGATTTCAGATGAATAAGTAATATGCACCACAAAATAATGTGTAATTTAAATGTTTGTAATTGCCCTGTTTGGAGTGATATGTACGTTTAAAGCCATAAGTGGTAAAGCACTAGCATTTAGAACTTTTGCAGTGGCTAATTGTATGTTAGTATTCAGAATATTGATAGGTGTCTATTAGTTCTAGGGTTGCCAGCCTCCAGGTGGGGCCTGGGGATCTCCCGCTTTTACAACTGATCTCCAGCTGGCAGAGATCAGCTCCCCTGGAGAAAACGGCTGCTTTGAAGGGGGGACTCTGTGGCATGGTACCCTGCTGAGGCCCCTCCCCTCCCCAAACCCTGCCCTCTCCCGGATCCACCCCCAAAGTCACCAGGTATTGTCCAATGCAGAGCTGGCAACCCTAATTAGTTCACATCCCATGCACAAATGATTTAGCACACATTAAGGCCCTGGTCTGTATGTGCACATTTGGAGTAGGTTCTGTGCATAGGTGCTAGTTTCTTAATTGTTATTAACCCATATGTCATTGTTCAACCATGAAACATTTTTAAAATACCAAAGACTCAGTCATATGTAGCACATCATATCAGCCTGTTTAAAGAGGTTGCAATAAGGCCCAGTTTCAGTGCAATCAGAGCTAGAGTTTAGTGATTAGGTAAGGATAGTGGCATCATACATCTCCTTTATTCCTGCTCCCTCCTCCCACACTTCTGTATGTTTCGAAATGTGCTTTGAAAATCTTCCTAGTATGTTCCAGGTGAGTTTAGAATAATATCTGTGATGATCACATATAACTCTGGTCAGGATAGACAAAAGGAATAGGGAAAGGCATGTCAATCCCATGACCTGCTTCCCAGTGCTTAAATTCTGGTCTTTGTGTTTAAGGTAGACAAAGGCCTGTAACGTTTCTGAAAATTTAGAAACCACAGAAAAATACTTGCCAATTAAACCTAAATTTATTTTACAACATAAAATGCATCATTTATAACTCAGAATATAAAATTGTCCTATTTGGCATATGTATGGAATTTAAAACTATAAATATCTTCATTTTCTATAAAAAAATTGCAAGTGTACCCAATACTTGAAAAGAGTTGCAAACTCTGCATCCTATGCTACTATAGGGCATACGTCTTTAATTTTTTGTCATCCAGCAGGACAAACTAAAGAAGATAGAAAGCAAATTCTGTAGTAAACAAGATAAGGTATATTGTATGGACAGAAACTTTCTCATAGAGCTACAATAGATAGGACTGCCAGCATGTTTGGATATTAAGCTAAACTTTATAGCATTGAAAACACTGAACTCTTTAATAATGTATCATCATTAAAACAGTATAGCATATTAATTGTTGCTAAAATTATTTATATTTAAACAAAATCATAAAAATATTGTATATGTCTACAGTATAAGAGTTTTAGTTTCATGCTTCCCAAAAGAAAGTCCTCAGACTATTTCATGATGTACAGCTGGAATGAGTTTTTAAAATAAGATTTTAAATTTTTATTGAAAGAAAGGATAACAAACAACAGAAAATAACAAGGAAAAAGGAAAGGAAAGACTATATAAAATAAAGGAGGCTTCCAATTTTCTCTGCAACAAATATGATTACCAAATTTTCTCTTACTCTGTGGTTACAAAGAAAAGTTCTTTTTTCTGTTATCTAAATTTTTCCTTATTCATCAAAACCACAGATCATCAAGTCATTTTTATCTGTTTCATGCAAAAAGTCTATAAGGGGTTTCCAATCAGCAATAAAAGTACTTATTGTCCGTTCTCTAATCAATGAAGTAAGTTTAGCCATCTCTGCAAGTTTCAGCATCTTCACCCACCATTCCTCTGTTGAGGGCAAGATCGGATTCTTCCACTTTTGCGCATATAATAATCTTGCTGCAGTATAAAAACAAAGTTCCATGACTTCTTTCCAGCTGAGTGTCCATTAATCCCAAAAGAAAAGACTCTCGTTTCAGTTCATCTTTAAAATCTTCTGAATTAATAAATGTATTTATATTCAGAATTTTTTTGGCTTTCTTACATGTCCACCACATATGGTAAAATGTTCCTTCATGTTGTTCACATTTCCAACATAGGGTCAAAGTCCCTTTATACATTTTGGCCAATTTCTCTGGAGACATATACCAGTGATACAGTATCTTATATTTTCTGTTATTTGTTCTTCTTTCTCTCAATAATTTTAAAATCTCATTAAAAAATACAGTTGCAATGAGTGAAATGCTTTGTTAGACAACATTTTCTTAATCAAAAAGAGCAAATATTTCATATGGGGTCATTTTCACTCCTCACCAACATTTCCTCAGAGTTTTTCATGCTGTACATTTTGAATGTGAAAAACCTTGTCTTAAGAAGCCTTGTAGTCATTCTAAAGAGAAAATATTTTATAGCAGTTTCTCTTCACCATTCCCCACGCATTTTCCAATTTTTCCAAAAGGCCTTGGGGGGAGGAACCCACCCCATTTCTTTTTCTTTTTTTCCTGGGCCCTCACATCTCTTAAGTGTATGTTATGTCTGTAAACTGGTAAGTTGGTTTGTTGCTTGTCTTAAACTTTTTGGTGTTTTCGGGTAGAATTTTTTTAATGTATTCAAAAACAATTTTTTCCTGTATGTAGAACTTACCAGTGACCATGAAGTACGAGAGCCAGAGCTAGATGAACCTCATGGTATGTCTTTCTGCAATATGTTCAATATGGAAGTTTTCACTGTAAGAACACTCTGAGATGCTTGGGTACTCTCCTTTTCATGATCTCTACAGGCAGGGATCTGTGAGCTGTGACTGCTGAGGTTAAGACTCTGGTGGAAAACCTCATGGAGTTCAACCTGGCATCTGAAATGAAGCATACTGCTCTCTCTAGCTGACAAACAATGAGGCTGGATTCTCCTGGAACAATTTTTTTTAACCAAATGACAGAGGGCCTTGCTATGAGGGAAGTGGCCAATGAAGCCTTCATAGATAAAGCCATTACTTTGTCGGGGTCTAAGGACAATTTCCAATCAGTGACATCCTTTAATGCCTTCCCTGGAAGCCAGGCTTACCACAGGACAGTCCACTTACAGGGACTCAAACAAGCCAGTTGGCCTTAGGGAAGAAAGAGAACAGCCTTCTAGAATGGTCTGTATGGAGTCTTTGAGTGACTGTATGGCCCAATCTTTAATTTTGGAGGGGGGGGAAGGAAATGGAACACTGTTCCTAGTTCCTTAGCATCAGGCAGAACCTCAGAATCCTGCTTGTCATCATAATTGTCTTTTGGGCCAGGGAGTTGGTCTGCTTAAGAGCCTGAGCATTTTAAGGGCTTTACACAGGCATGAGGGGAGTTCTTCCACTGAAAAAAGCAATGTAGAATGTTGTGTCTGTATTTGTGACAGTTCTTCCACCTCTCCGCCTGAGTTCTGTCCAGAGATCCTGGAGAAAATGGTGCAGGAATCCTCCTTTTGTCTCTGGGAAGAATAGGATGACTTGGTGCAGTGGCAGCCTATGGAATACTTACTAGCAGTCCTTGAAGAGCCAGCTTGGCTAGAGGCAAATTATTTTGCATCTGTGCAGAGCCTGCTATTTGAGAAGAAGGGAGTGGAGAGCCTACTGATCCCACTGCTGATAGCAAATTGCTCCAGCCAAGTCTGTAAACCTGTGGTGCAGAGAAGACGTCCTCTCCCCCACTCAGCACAGTTGCAGGGTTCTGAGCAGACAAAAAATGGAGAGAAGAGCTTTGTTGATAGCTTAGAGGTAGAAAGTAGGAGATAGATAAAGGAAAAAAGCCCTAAGAGCTCAAGGAGAAAAAAACTAGGGAGCTCCTTAGAAGCCCTGTACTCTCAAGAAGGGAAGGAGAAAATACTGAAGGTGGGGGGCACTCCCCACCCCACTGGGAACAGAAAAGAGCAGTCTACTTGCTGCCTTCAGGGATCATGGGTAGGAGAGTACCCAAATACTTAGTGTGTCCTGCTCTGCTTTAAGTAAAATGAACCTTCATGGAAAGTCCAGTGCTTTGTTCCGGTTTATAATATTTTGATTATTCACACATACATTTTGCCGAGCGATGAACTTACATGTATGAAATGGCTCTAAATATCTTGGATCTGTATGTAACATCTTCACTGGTAAATTTCATATAAGGAGGACATGAGATATGAATTGTTTAAATTACTGATTTTCAACAAACAGATCAGTCCTCTCCAAGATAGATTTCATTTTCACCTTAGTTTCATTTTATTTTAAAGTGAAGTCTCTGCTCCCTGAGAAGGAGTGGAGAAATGCTTGTTGGAACAGCAGTGAGCCATACAAGCAGCCTATGCCCAAGGTTTTTGGGGTTCAAAGTGACTCTCATACACCCCATAATGCAGTTGTTCCCAATCTTTTTGGGGCGAACATTCCTTTGGTTCGATAAACTCAACCCCAGTGCCCCCTACCCAATAAAAAGTATTATTCAGAATAGTGTTTTTTGTGACCCACTGAGGTAATAACACTAAAATTCAAAACAATAACAATTGTACATTTATTCAAAATCCAATTAAAACTTTTTCAGTTTCCCCTCAATTACCCACATTTTTTCCTTCTACCCCCCTAAATTTTCCCTTTAAAGGTGTTTTTTTCCCCCAAGTCTCCACGGATGCGCACAAGCACCCAACGGAGCATGCACAAACTTTAGTTTAATAAAAAACCGCACAACTTAACAGCTCGCTAAGACTTGAGTCGTGCAGAGAAGAGGAGAGCAGCCAGAAGAAAGCAACAAAGAGCGCACGGCTTGAGGCGAGAGACAGATAGGGGGAAAGGGGGTAAGGCAGAAGATAAAGTGGCTGAGACGAAGCCTAGAAAGGGGGCGCAGCGGCAGAGTAGGAAGTCTGCTTGGGGAAGGGGGGGCACAGCCCAGGAGGGCGGCACCGTGGCCTCGAAGACAGGCGCTGGAGGAGCCAGCGGAGAAGGAGGCGTGGTCAGGGCGGAGGGGGCTGAGCCATGCTGCTTTGCCCTCTTCGCGCGCCCCACCAGCCGGCTCCCCGGACTGTTGGCCTTACAGAACTACTGCCCACCCCCTGCCTGCCTCACTGCTGGGGAAAAAGCTGTGCCCGACGCGACGCCGCACTGCCTAGTCGGCAGCTGGCCCCTCCTCTCCCCAGCGCCGCTTGGCCGGCTGTCTCTGGCAGCCCCCTCCTCGCCTTCCCTTGGCGCGCGGCCCCGCTTCTTTGCCCCATGGCCCCGCTTCTTTGCCGTGTGATCCGCACCTCCCCCTAACCACGGGACCTCCACGGGACCTCCATGGGAGGTCTGATCGCTCAACCGTGCATTATTTTGCCACGGGGCAAACAGCCACGCTCCCCCCCCACATTTTACTGGCCGTGTGACCGGATCCTTAGAAATTTTAAATCCTTATGTAACCTAAAAATATTAATATAGGATGGCTGCCACAAATATAACATTTATATAGCTAATCTTAATCAGGTTCAGTAACCAAGAGCACAGAAAAATCAACACCATGCTCAATACCATTATGTTAAGGACTTATCCATAAAAACTTGGAGAATGACAGACAAAAACTCTGCTGGTATTATTTACTAAAAATTCTGATGGTTTCCATCAGATTTCAGCACTATGCAGAGGCAGAAACTTGGAGTTCCATTTGCCAGCATGGTGCCATAGCCTGGTCAATTGTAAATAAGTGAACAAAATGTTTTAAGGGTCCCACCTCCTATGCCCCCTGTGCTGCTCCCTTGCCTCTTAGAGCCCCCTAGGTAATCCCACCCCTTCAGGGGGTGATACTGCTCACTTTGGGATCCACTGCTGTAAGCCTCATGGCTTTCTCGAATCTATGAAAAACTGAATTATTCAAAAAGACTTTTCTATGCAGGCCAGAGTTGCAGTGTACTAAATGATTCACAAAGTTACTTGGAAAAAAGTATTAGGGACTGTGGTCTATAGTACTGTGTATAGCTATTAAAAGAAATGTTATGTTCTTTTCATAGCTTCATTTAAATAGAATGGTATTCCAGGGAGAACAGTTGTGATATTATTATAGTTTTCTTTCAAATAAAATTGCTTCAGTGGTCATGTTGGCTTTGATGTTAGTCAAATCAATGTAACCACTCTTGCCTTCATGATGGTGATGGAGATAGTGGTGTCTTGTGGCTTAATATACAGTTTCTTAATTTGCAGGTACACATGAATATGACACAAATGTAGAAGAAAATACATATGAAGCGGTAGAACCAGGTATGTCTGATCACAATTTAATTTAGAAATAATCTGTATTGCATAGATTATATACCTTTCTTTTTGTGTTTCAGCCGGTTGTGGTGTGCAGTAAATATACGTATAGAGAGCTAGTAAGGGAAGGGCATCATTTGCCTTTGTTCCAGTAGTACATTCCCATTACATTATTTCAAAATAAATATACTGTGTGTACACTGGGTTGCATGCCATGGAAGATTTCTGCACATTCAGCAGTCTTAGTGAAAGTGCGAAAGTTAATCCTTGCTGTATGCTTGCTCAAAGTGAAAGTGATTGTATGTGTGCAAGACAGAGTGCAAGAACTCCCCCCGATACTATTTCAAAAGCAAATTAAATAAAATCATACAAACAGTATGTACCTTTCATTACTCTGTATGTATATTTTTATTTTGTTGCCTTATCGTTTGCTCAAGTGGAATTATGCTGAGTATATTTTCCTTTCCATTTTTGCATCTCTGGATCCAACCCCTTGTTTTCATTTCAGTTTGTCAGGCTTTGTATGTATGGTCCTGATGACAACTAATTTTTAACAGTACCATATTTTCAATTGTGCCTGAAGACCAGCAACAGTTGCTGTACCCACTGATTCAGTCCCACACACACTGAGTCATGGGCAAAAGGCTAACTCTTTTTCTCCAGTATGAACAAGCAAGGTTTGACAGAGCACATCCTTGATATCTGAGCTGTTCACTAAGATTTCCTTTGATTGCCATTTGAAAGGAGTAAACAGCTGTGTTAGACAATAAGAGGAAAGCTCTGCGAAATTCTCTTATGAAGTGAGATAAAGATCCCTTTCCCTGTTTCCCCTTGGGATAGGGTCTGACTTTGCCCTTCACTTACCTATCCCTAATGTATGTTCTTATATATAAAATACAAATCTTTTCTCATGCAAATATTTTCTCTTCTGTGTAAGAATTTACACATAGCAATCAGGTTTTCCCTTAACCAAAGAGCAGTTAAGTTCAGGTCTCAGACAGAGAGATCACATACCTGTGAGGAATCCTGAGAATGAGGAACAACTCAGAGATTCCCCCCCCCCATAGATTCTATAAATTCTCAGGTTTAAATAGGCTAATCTGCCACCTCTCTTTACTTTAACTGACTCTCAACATTTCACACTCTTGAAGATACTCCTTATCAGGTTAGATTTTTCTTTTGGTTAATTTATAGTCTTACATTTTTCTACATTCCTATGGAGTCTCCAAGTATATAGAGACCTCTACCTCATATCAGAATGGTCTAATTTTGCTGTTTTCATATTGGATGGACAGTTGCTAGATATAATGATGTATTGACATCCCAAAATACATTCTTTCTGCATTATAATGACATTAGGGTGGCCACAGTTGGACCTGCTAGCATCAATCACAGTGTAATGATTTACCACTAAACACTGTTTGTAATACCTCTCAGCATGGCTCCTGACTGGGATATCTATTGGAGGGTAGTGAGTAACAGTGATCTGTGTCAACTGATACTAGAAGTTCCACAAATTCAGCAAAATGAGACCTGTAAGAGCCACAGTTTTAACATACTTTGTGGCTTCATTGCTAGGATAACAGAACTACTTCTGTAGCTCTTAATAGAAGCCCTACAACAGCAATGGGTTTTGGTTGTATTTAGAAACTACTTTACTGATTTAACACTGTGATTTTGCATATAAGAATTTTTTTGTAACCAAAATATCTTTAGATAGGTTAATAATAATACATTATACTTGAGTGAATTTGTGTTATCCCATACAGAAGAGGAAAAATAAAAATGAGAAGGCTTAACAATGTAAACATGTTTTAATGCAATAAAAATTCTGTAGAGCTGCAAAGTTGAGATTATTTTAGCAATGTAACACTTTACCTAATTGCTTGAATACGAAGCAAGGGCAAAGGAGGTGATTAGTTTTTGAAAATGCTTGGCGTACTTGAATTCCCTAATCTTTTTTTTAATTAGTTTTTAATTAGAGTTAATGACAAAAGGAAATGGCTTCTCCATCTCAGGCGGTCTAAGAATGTGCTTGGATTAAGTAACAGGTGACAAGCAAAGGCTGATTTATATTACTCATTTCTGTTTCACCATAGAACAGTTTTTAAAATACAAATAATGCAGGTGTGTTAAATCTAGCAACACCCCACCTTACTTTAGTAAGGTACAATGGATAGAAAATTGGAATGGGGCCAGAAAGGCTAAGCTTCAGGTTTCTCCTAAGCTATTGATTTAGTGAGTCAAATAGTTTAGTTTTAGTTAATATTCTACAAAGTACAAAATTTTTATGTACTTAAAGTGCGGACGAACACAATAAGCATTATACCATAAAAACCATGTATACATCCTTATGTTATTATTAGTAGTATATGTATCACATTTATTATCCTACCCTTTCTCTTGAGGGACTCAAGGCAGCCTACATAGGATTTTTAAAGAGTGGCCTATGTAACATTGTGTCTTGCCTAAAGCTGCTTCAGAAGCTTCAAGGGCAAATAGAGATCTTAAGCCTGTTCTCCAGGGCTCAGAGTTTTATTCCAGGGCTCCCCAACATTTTCCAGCCTGTGGGCACCTTTGGAATTCTGATACAGGATGGTGGCACAGCCACAAAATGGCTACCATGGAAGGTGGACACATGCATAGAAGAAGCCCAAGCACGGGACACAAGGAGTACTTTTTAAAAATACACTGGGAAAGAAGAGTGAGAGACAGGAGAAACCAACACTGTAATGGCAGCTACCATCAGAACCATGTAATTTTAATCTGCATAGCCAATGAAATCTTCAGTAGCCAGTCAGAAGCCTTGCTGGGCAGGAGGCCCAGCTGGCCCCTCCTACTTTCTAAAAACACTTGAATGGGTGCCAGGAAAGATGTTGGTGGGCTCCATGGCACCCATAGACACCACATTGGGGGGCCCTGTTGCATTCAGTACCCCACACAGACTGTCATGGTTAAGCCATAACTAGTGAAAAACATAAAGTTACCTTTAGTTCTGTTAATGTATGAAATGTGATTAAATAAAGAATCAAGTCCAAGATCATTGCCCCTCTGGTTGGCTCTGTGACCAGCTATTCCAGTGCACAGTAATTTACAATGTCTAGGAATCCCATTTCTACAGCATGATTCGAGCATGTATTTACCCAGTCAATGTGAGGGTAGTTCAAGTCTCCCAATATAATATTATCTGCTTTAGTGACCTCCTTCTTTCCTTCTCCATCTCAAGATCAGCCTCAATGGTTTATCAGGTGGGCAATAGTACACCCCCACTTTTAAGGTCCAATATTTCGACCCATATCACTTCTTTTGAGGAGTTTGATTCCCCTGAAGCTTCCTAACTTATTTGATTCTATTCCCTCTTTGATGTACAACACAACACTTCCCCTAACTTGTTCCTCCCTGTGCTGCCTATAGAGTTTATACCCAGGAATGACTGTATCCCATAGATTTTCCTCAGTTCACCATACTTCTGAGATGCATACTGTATCTAAATTGTCATTGAACACCAAGCACTCCAGCTCTCCCATCTTGACTTAGAGATGTGTAACATTGGCAGATAGACACCTATAATGTTTCCCTCTCCAGTAACTGTGGTCTTCCTTGGCCTCTTATTCGCCACACATGCTGTCAGTTGCCACCCTACCCTCACTCCCAAGTTCTGTTACACTCCTGTCACTATTACCTGGAGTGTTTACCCTTTGGACTGACTTGTCCTAAACTGGAAGCTCTCCAGTTCCTGTCGGCTTCCCCCCCAAGATTAGTTTAAAAGCTTCTCTGCTACCTTTTTGATATCGATTGCCAGCAGCCTAGTTTCCTTTTGGTTCAAGTGAAACCCATCTCTTTTGTTCAAGTCTAGTTTGTCCCAGAAAGTTCCTCAGTGCCTAACAGATCTAAACCCTTCCTCCTGACACCACTTTCACATCCACGCATTGAGGCCCCAGATCTATGCTTGTCTAGTTTGCCCTGCATGTGGAACTGGCTCCGTTTCTGAGCATCCTACCTATGTTCTTATGTATAGAGAATACTTTGTAATTGGTGTGATGTAGGGGTGTGCTCTCGGTATAAACTGAACTGAAAAAATACCTTATTGGTATTTATTGGGTGTTTACTCAGCTGGTTACCAAGTGCCCAATTGATTTGGCTATCCAAAAATGGCTGCACCCCAAAATCCCAAAAATATTTGGAAACAGTGGAGGACAGGGGCAGCTCTGTTGGGCAGTCCAGTTTAAACCAGGCTGCCCAGCAGAGGCCCAGCTGAGCCTGCAGGGAGAACTCTCCCTACAGGATCAGCTCCTTGGCAGGCTCTGTTGGGCAGTCTGGTTTAAACCGGAGTGCCCATCAGAGCCCCTGCTGAGCCTGCGGGGTGAACTCTGTGGGGAGTTTTCAACTGAGCTGCAAAGAGGAGCCAGACCAGGATTGGTTGTGTCTCCCTAGAGCTCTCAGCTCCTGCTACCCCAGCTGATTATCTTGGGTTTTTTCTTCTTGGTTCCATTCAGGAATCCTCAATATTTCCCGAATCCAAATAGCATACCAGTATTGAGATTCAGGAATATCGAGAAATACCAATATTTTTCAGGTTCAATATACACGAACCTGAAAAATGCTGTGTTGGCTTGTTTGTACACCTGTAGTGTGATGTTTAACCCTAGACTGCCAAATAGTAGAACACTGGGAGAGGGTGAGATAATAGGAACATACTGTGGATTGTTGTTATTAACAATCTTGGTTTGTTGTTGTTATTGACTTTCTCACTAAAACTCAAAGCAGATTACAAAATATGAAAAAGAATTTGATTACACCGCAAGGGCCTCCAATAAATGACACAATAGAAGTAGGATTGCAAAGCTGGATTCCATTTACACCTACACAGTGGAGGTAAAGCATGTATAAGGATCTATTCCCTTTGAGGCTAAGGCACGTAGATGAAAACTGGGACTGGTAGACCATGAAATCAGAGGGTACAGATTGCTTTGCTTGAACCTGGAGATGTTGGACTGTACATATGTAGACCGCTGTGTAACTCTAATGGTTAGTATGTGCATGTTGGAGTGCCCAAAAGGGAAGATAACCTGGTATAGTTTTGACCCTCCCCCATTGTGTTAATGGTAATTTGAATAAAACAGGACACTGAGTTTGTCTGTCTTTTATAGATGCTAGTGAACTAACTCTAGAAGACGCTCTCGTGGATGAAACAGGTACTGAACAAAAATCAGTTTTTATATTGTGTTCTTCTAATCTGGGTTCTGTGTAATTTAAAATCCAACCTGTGTTCTACTTTTCATTTTGCATGGGTATTTCAGTGGCATATGTTTGTGGGATCCAAAGGAACATCTTTCAGTCATTTAGGGGTGGACATAATCAAACCAAGGGGCTTCTCTAACAAAGGTCTGGTCCTGTTAGGAGGGCCTTCTGTTTGGGGAGAGGGGCTGCAAGCAAAACAGCATCAGTCGTTCCTATCTTTCTCCAGTGAGAGGGAGGGAGAGGGTGTGAGAGAGTGAAAAACATTTGCATCACCAGGCACCTACTTCTGACTCTCTGAAGATGATTTTTATTTCAAGCTGATGAGAGGGGGGAATGGTCTGAGCACCTCTCTACTGAATCACTGCAGTCAACCTTCATGCAGTGACTCAATGAAAAGTACTCTTAAGGATGTGAAGAAGGCTTAGGCATGTACTGGTGGGAATAGCTTGTTCTTTTCATTTTTAGTGAAGGGAGTAGAATGGCCTGCATGGTACAGATAGTGCAGCATGCTGTCTGGCCAATGTATAAAAGGAACTGGCTGTGTCATGAACAATCTCATCAGATTGCAATAGTTACTAATGAATATTAGGAAGTTATTTAGGATAGATATACTCAATAAAAATTTAAGTAAAAAAAATAAAAATAGGAAGTTATTTAGTACATTCTGATCCTGCATTGTGTCTTCAGTCCGCAACTCTTCACTTATCACAAGATTTGCTAGTGCAAGCTTATATCCACTACCATTACACAAAAACACAGCTTGGTTAAGGTGCAGGGATTCCAGTGCTTCCTGGGCTCTGTGGCATTCTTAACTGGGTATTGCTCTAGCCATCTGATTATTACTTTAATAGGACTGTCTGTGGAAATATCTGGCATCTGAACAGCAAATAGGATGCGGATTCTAAGACAATGTATAGTAGCAGATGCCTTGTGTACTTTTATGACTTAAACTATGAACATTTTGTTTATTTACAGAAGCATTTTCAGAACATGAAGAACAGCAAGATTATGTGGATGAACATGGTAAATTTTTATGGCTTTATGACAAATCTATAAGTAACTGTGCCTATGAGTTATTCATAAATTAGTTGTAGTAAACTCATTTTGCATAACACATTTTAATTTATTTATTTATTTAATTTATACCCCGCCTTTCTTCCCAAAGGGGGAACCAAAGCAGTTTATGTCATTCTCCTCCATTTTATCCGTAAAACAACCTGTGAAGTAGGTTAGGGTGAGAAAGTGTGATGGGCCCATTTTCACCCTGGGAGCTTTCATGGCAAAAGAGGGGATTTGAGCCTGGGTCTTCCAGATGGTAGTCCAAAACTGTTAACCACTACACCATACTGGCTCTTTGGTTTAAAATTAGTAATTAAGCATGTAAAATAATTTTGTAGATGCCTTTTGTAGATCACACACTGCATTGTGTGATAGCTGCATGTCCAAAGTGAAAGTCCACCAGTCTATTGGTATAGACAGCTGTCATATGGGTGGGACCAATAGCATGGGTCTTTTCAAACCAGCTAGCTCCCCATGGGGGATGAAAAGACCCAGAGGGTGTTTGATACTGCAACCACACAGGAATTACCATAGAAAGTCACTATGCAGTTTGGTGCATATTTACCGATAACTTATTTCCTAACCATAGTAAGGGGAAAGCCAAGGGATTTAAGTTTATTGATCTCAGACTTCTCCTAGGCCAATTACTAGAACTGTTTTTGCACTTCTCATTCTCCTATGGCAGCTCCCATGAATGAATGCATGTGTGCCCCTCCTCCTCCTATTTGAAAAAAATAACAACTTTGTTGGAACACCAGCCTCTTAATCTGTCACCTAGTTTCCCACATCACCATAATTAAATCCAACAAATTCCGTATGCCAGCTTTAACTAATGAATTGGCACTGCTCTTTAGATGTGACCAGAGCAGTTGCTGCCATCTCAAGTATTTATTGCTTCATCTTAAGTAAATGGAAATTATTACTTTGACCTTTTTCTTTATCAATTAATAGCTGTTGTGACACTCTCAAGCTTTTAATTGCAAATTCATTATTTTTCTAGAAATGGAAAATGAAGACTATGTTGAAACTCAGGATACAGGTAAATCAGCTTTCACTCATATATCCAGAAGACTGAAAAATATTGACTGTGTAAATGGTTTTACTAACTGTTCCTTTTGCTGTTGTGCCCACATACGTCTGCTGCAACATTTCTTATGCATAGATCATCCAAAGAAAATGCTTCAAACTTTCAGAAATGAGTGGTTGTCATTTATATGTCTCTTATGTTCAGTTTCTCTGCACCCAGTGGACGAAGCTGGTTCTCTGGAGACCCAAAAGAATTTGCAATTGCAGTAAAAAAAGAATGAATATTGTTGGCTTGCTTCCAGTTAAGGATAGGCATTGATATATTTACATCTCTTGTAATTATATCCTTTGAGAACTTTACACATTGTATGTAAATACGTGCAAAGGAATAACTGTATTTTTAGCAGGAAAATGCAGATTGGGAGGAAGCAAATTGGAATAAAATTGGAATAAAATAGTAGCATTAGATCCCCAACCTTTACCCAGTAGAGTTCAGAACCAGAGATGCCTCTCCCCATTTCCCATTCCTCCTCCACTTTCCCCATGCCTGGGATACTTTGGCAGCATCCAAGCTGCACCCTGTAAAACGTAGTACTCAGGTAGTCTGATATCTTAATATAAAAACATCACCCTGTTAGATAAGTAGGGGAAAAGACAGGGAACAGGCAGGGAGATGCAGCTGTCTTATTTGTTGGTTGGCTAGCTAGCTGATGCCAATCTGCTTGTCTATGTAGGGCTCACAGCTGTTTCTGCAAGGTAGAGAGGTAAGGTAGAAGTGTGGGAGATTGGGCTTTCATAGGGGGACCTTTTATGAGCAGTGTTATAATTCTTGGAGTAGGAAAACTCCCCTACCCCAGGATGGCAATTCTCCAGTGTAGTATTCTGGTCCCTTTCATGTTTGAACCTGGGGATGTAGGATTGGGGGGGGGGGGTGCCCATTACTGTTCCAAATGCATGTTATCAAGAACTTCACTCTTTCACACACTCAGCTTCTCTCTTCTTATTTGTGCCATGCATAACTGTGAAGTCTACTCTACTTTTTTTTCCTTATAGACTTGAGATTATAATGCTGTTCTCCTTTCAGATGGAGAACCTGTCACTGAACATTATTATGAAGTCTTAGAAGAGGAAACCTTGCAAGGTAAAAATATAATACTTATTTCAACTAGAAGAAGAAGAGGAGGAGATTGGATTTATACCCCGCCCTTCACTTGGAGTCTCAGAGCGGCTTACAAACTCCTTCCTCTCCCCACAACAGACACCCTGTGAGGTGGGTGGGGCTGAGAGAACTCTGACACAAACTGCTTTTTTTCAAGGACAGCTGTGCCAGAGCTTGTGACTGACTCAAGGTCACATCAGCAGGTGCAAGTGGAGGAGTGGGGAATCAAACCTGGTTCTCCCAGATTAGAGTCTGCACACTTAACCACTATACCAAACTGGCACTTACACCAAACTAGAAGAGTGAATTATGCTACAACATTCAAGATTACTATGCCCTCTGCTCAGCAGCTACTATGCTGACGTCTCAAGTCCATATCAACATGTAAAGATGCCTGCATGGAAAGCACAGCTTTAAACACAGCATAAAATCTCCACATTATTGCATGTGATGATTGCATGGGTGCTGGGAGGCCAGAATCATTACACCCCACGCAGATACACAAAGAGAAGTATCTATGTGCAGCTATTGCATAGTGTGATCCATACAGATTGCCTATATAGCCATACTTTCAATGTAGGACTATTGGTTTGGATCCTAAGCCTTGCTGCCCTTTGTCTGTTATGAAGGCATTCCTTTGCTGCACAGTGTTTTCCTCTAGCACTAGTGCTTTTCAGCTCATTGAAAGCTCCTTGGTTTTGCATGAGCAGAATCTCCTAGCACTAGAGTAACACGCTCCACGGGAGAGACTTTCCCCAGAAAGTGCAAGTGAATCCAAGCCATTATCGCATTTCAAATGGCCTTCAGTTATGTTGCTTGAATAGATGAGTAAGTATTATGTTGATCTCATTAGCTTTCTTTTTTCAAAGCCTAAGAGATTTCTTTCTCATATGCTCTATAGCAGAACCAGTTGAGAGTGCTGAGCAAAGAAATGAACGTGAGTATAAAAAGCTGTTCCTTTTCTGTTACCAGCGTTCTTTAAACAACAAAGAAACATTAAAATAATAATACCCATTTCCCCCATCTTCTGATAATTATCTCAAAGACACAAAGGAGGTAATTGCTCCTGTTAGCACCAGCAGACTTCTATCACTAGAAGACAACTCCAATAGGATAATACTACTGAAGATAAAGTATTTGGACAAGGTTCCTGTGGTGCAGGCCCCTGCCACCGGCAAACCAATGAGTTTACAGAGTAAATTCTTGTCCACTAATCTCTGCCCCATTTATAAATCAGTTTTTCCTTAGCACAGTAAAATGAGGAGTGAGTTGGGAAGAAAGGGTGGAAGATGGGGTGGTAGTGGAGAGGAGAAAATAAAGGTAACAAAAAGCAAGGAACATGAGGGAAACATTTGGGGGAATGAAAAAAGCTGGAAAACAGAAATAGCAAGGAATTGTTGGTTTTTTAATCATTTAAAGACAGCCATTCTACCTGAGGTTGTTAAAGTAGTAATGTTAACATCAGTGCATGCTTTCATTATTATTTTTGAGAGCTTATTGCAGTTGATTAGCGACTATCTGATATTGATGGAGTGTGCTGGTTGTTCACTGTAACAATAAAATTTGATTTGATTTGACTATTTAATGCATGAAAATAAATGTTAAATTTAGGCATGTTTCCTGCAGTGTGTTAAGGTTTGTTGAACTCAGTAGAACTTGTTCTTGAGTACAGAAGATCAGGGTACATGGATGACAAAGACACAGTGCCATCTTTATCAGGTGTACTTGAAATCCTGCTTTGATCTAGTTATTGGGTTTATGCCCAGGAAAGTGGTGTTAGGATTGCACTGTTGAAGAGAGAGTAAAAACTCCATGAAAACAGTAATACACATGCCTCCAGAGGCCAAAGGCAATGAGTGGGAGAATAAATGCCCAGATGGACTGCTAAACATATTGCTTTTAGTTGCAGAAAATAAGCTATTAAACCCTCCCACCTCTTAGTTAGGTACTTGAGACAGGCTATTTTAGTATATGCTACTGGACTCAAGTGGATCCATATGTAGCCAGGAATTTTGCCAAGTTAACAGGTGACTTGCCTTCTGTAAAGGGGAAGAAGGAGAAGCACAGGGAGAATTCATGTAGAAAAATTAGTGCTGGCTTCAAGATGTTGTGGGGGGGGGGCTCTTGAAGCAAAGCACCAGCAGAAAAAAAATTGGAAGAGGTGATGCTTCCAAACTCTAAACTGACTTACTCCTGTGCTATGTGCAAAGGGGAGGGGGTGAATACCTAGTCTCACACTGCTCAAAGCTGGTCCTGAGAAAAATCCCTCTTTAATGTTATTCCTGTTTTTCATACTCCCTAAAGAATGTATGCATGTAGTTTCATGCTATAAATGTTATATTTGCCATAGATGAAGTAGATGCTCCAGAGACTATTAGTGAACATACTGAGTCAGGTACGTATGAATGAATTGTTTAGACATATGAACAATACTACAATGAAGATGTAAGTTCACAAAGTTGTAGTTATTTTCCCACTACACTATTTTCACTACACTATTGGTGTAGTGGTTAAGTGTGCGGACTCTAATCTGGGAGAACTGGGTTTGATTCCCCACTCTTCCACTTGCACCTGCTGATGTGACCTTGGGTCAGTCACAAGCTCTGGCACAGCTGTCCTTGAAAAAGAGCAGTTTGTGTCAGAGTTCTCTCAGCCCCACCCACCTCACAGGGGGTCTGTTGTGGGGAGGGGGAAGGGAAAGGAGTTTGTAAACCGCTCTGAGACTCCAAGTGAAGGGCGGGGTATAAATCCAATCTCCTCCTCCTCCACCTCCTCCACCTCCTCCTCCTCCTCTGTTGGCCATATATGTGACACTGGTGTTAGAGGAATGTTCACAAGTGATACATGAAGAACATGGAACCTTTGTAACTCTGCCGGAATATCATTTATTGAACAAAAAGAGTCATGCTCTAAATTTGTTTGCATGTTACTTTGACATATTTCTGTTTTTCCATGTAGATAACCATAGATCAATAAATAAAATTAAGTATAATGTGAGGCATATTGAGAGATGAGGGATACTGCATCATGTTGCACTTTTTATGCATCTATATGACAATGGAATGGTTCCAGAAGATGCTTTAATAAAGGGAAAGGGACTGTGGACTGTACTACTGTATTTGAAAGTATTTGAAAAGTTGTCACTTAAAGAAGAACAGGGAACTGTTCCTGTCAGACTCACAATAATGGGTTTCAACTACAGGCGGAAAGGTACCATTTGGATATTAGGAATTTTTTTTTACAGTAAGAGTAGTTCAGCAGTGGAATCAGCTGCCTAGGGAGGTGGTGAATTCCCTCTCACTGGTAGTCTTCATGCAGCAGCTGGATGAACACTTGTCAAAGAAACTTTAGGCTGATCCTGCATTGAGCAGGGGGTTGGACTAGATAGCCTGTATGGCCTCTTCCAACTCTATGATTCTATTATTCTACTGCATATAGTATGTACCATCTGTTTCTATATGTAGCATCCTACTATGTAGTTTCTACATTGTTTGACATGTTTGGCCAAGCTTCGTGAGGCTTGGACATTTCAGAGACGTGGCATGTTTCAGATTTCTGCTTGCTTTCAGATTTTTGCTCTCCTAACTCTATTAGACTGCTTATTGGATGTCCCATCCTGTTGATTGTATTGATTTATAGTTTAATTTGCCTCAAGTCTCAGTGAAAAAGGTGGGCTATAAATAAGATAAATGAAAATAAATAAATATTGGCCAACATATTGGATTAAAGATAATAGTTATTGTTGAACTCTTAAAACCTGAGGTGTAATTTCAATTAAATGCCAGTCTTTTTTGACAAAAAGAAACACTGATATAATCTGTAGTATACATTAAACATTTGTTTGCTTAGCTGAAGTTATTGAAAATACAAATAAGCATAAGCGGCTATAACTAGGATAATAACACTTCTCCAACTTTTGTTCACTGTAGATGAGGGAGAACATGGAAAAAATCACATGGACGGTCAACCCCGTGAGACAGGTTTGTAAAATATTTTCTCTGTGTGTCCGTATGTGTCTGCCTGGAAGTCACAGTTGACTTCTGGTGACTCCTCGTGAGGCTTGGACATTTCAGAGAGGTGGCTTACTATTGTCTGCCTCTGTATCCCTGCCCTGGTATTCTTTGGAGGTCTCACTTCCAAGTACTTGCCAGGGTCGGTCCTGCTTAGCTTCTGAGATCTGATGAGGTCAGGCTTGCCTGGGCTATCTAGGTCAGGGCTGTGAAATATTTTCTTATACTAATCCTGTACATTTCAATTTAATGGGTATGCACTTGGGTGTGACCAAATTTGGTCTATTAAATCATGCAACTTATTTTTTCTGTTTCCTCTACATTACAATATGCTTGGATAGGACTCCTTTTATAAACAAGTTTTCTGAGAAACTGGAATACATACATTAGTCCATTGGATATTCAAAGATTTCTGATCTTTTAAGGAGTCAGTTCTGCAGCATAACCCAGCACAGTGGGCAGGTAATGTCTCTTGAAGTTAAGAATGCAGGAATCCACCCATGAACAGGAACCCAATGTTCTGTCTTAAGGACGGTGATAATATCAAAGAAAATAAATACAGTAGACCCTTGCCATTATCTGGGGCTCCGTTCCTGGGACCACTGTGAGTAATGAAATCCATTAGTACAGGGAGGCAGGGGAAAGGCCCTGGTCCCTTCACCCACCACATTCCTCTCATGGAGCACAGCCAGCCCTGGCTGCAGCATTGTTGTGCATGTAATGCAGAAGTGCCTGCCTCATCTGCCCAGCTTGGGCAAGTCACATGGCAATGCTGCAACCAGGTGCCGCCTGACCTGGTACCTACCACACAAGTCACCCAGCAATGCCACATTATGTCATTAAGCTGTGGACCACAAATACTACACCTTCAGGTAGTGAAGGGCAGGGTATAAATCCAATCTCTTCTTCTTCTTAAGTGAAACTGTGAATCTTCAAAGGGTCTACTGTAATTACTGATAGTATTACTTTTTATCTTTTATATTCATATAACACATATATTAAACACATAAAATAACCAGACACTCTATATTAAGAGCAACGGGTGGGAAACAGTTTTTCCAGTAATGAACATTTGAAATTTGCTCAGAACACGACAGCCGGCCCTGGCTGCAGCATTGTTGTGCAGGTAATGCAGAAGTGGCTGCCTCATCTGCCCAGCTTGGGCAATTCACATGGCAATGCTGCAACCAGGTGCTTGAGGCCGCCTGACCTGGTACCCACCACACGAGTCACCCAGCATGCCACATTCTGTTGTTAAGCTGTGGACCACAAATACTACTCCTTTAGGTAGTGAAGGGCGGGGTATAAACCCAATCTCATCTTCTTCTTAAGTGAAACTGTGAATCTTCAAAGGGTCTACTGTAATTACTGATAGTATTACTTTTTATCTTTTATATTCATATAACACATATATTAAACACATAAAATAACCAGACACTCTATATTAAGAGCAACGGGTGGGAAACAGTTTTTCCAGTAATGAACATTTGAAATTTGCTCAGAACTCAATCTGACCATTGGTCCATTTAGTCTTATTATTGTCTGCTGTCTGACTGGCAGCAGCTCTCTAGGCTACCTGGGTTTTTCCCAGCCTACTCCTTTGGATCCTTTGAATTGAAGGTGCCAGGGATTGAACTCAGTGCCTCTTGCATGCAGAGCATGGGCTCTGCTACCGACCTACATTCTCCCCTCTAATCTTTGTACAAATGATTCTTGGATTTTTTTGAAGTGACAGTTATTATATAAAACACTTTTATGTGGAAACTAGTATTCAGCCAAAGTGTAAGTAGTGACACTTGGTAATTATACACGTTTACTGTCAAATGTGTGGAGCCTACTTATGGATTGTCCAGTGATTACTGCACAAACATACTTCTCTTGTAGGGACTTTGTCACATTTGAAGAAAATTCCTTTTTCAGTTGATTTGGAATTACATTAATAGCCCCCCCCCTTCCCCCCATATATAGGAATTTAAATCTTTTTTGTCCCATTCATTGTTTTGAAGGGAAACTTGAAATTATCTTGTTTTTTCCCCCAGTGAAGAAGAGGTCATATCTTGTCAGATAAATTAAAAAATGGTAAAAATAACTGTGAACTTGATTCTTACTAAATGGTGACTTTTTTCAATTACAGAAGTTCCTTTTCACACTGAGGTTCATTCAAAGGATGATCTAGTGGGTAAGTCAATTTACAGAGGCTATTAAAATTCATTGTCTCAGGCTGTTTGCACAAGAAGTGTTGATATTTCTAAGAAGTTAAGAAGAAATGGTGCATTAAGTAGGTTCTTAACATTATAGCAAAAGGTTGACAAGTACTTGTTGTTCTTTATGGAACAGAAATTAAAAGATTTTTGGATATCCTTTCTTCGATATAGTTAAGAAAGCATGTTTATGCAGGTTCCTGCAGTGTCTTTTATCTAAAGCAAGATCAAATAAACATACTTTTATGCCATTTGTCCTTAAACTTAGAAGCAGAAAATAGAACAAGGACAGTTTAGGGAGACAGATGCCATTTCTGGTTGGTGTCTTCATATGTTGTAAAATACTTTTTCTTTCTAAGCCTTCCACTCCTAAGTAAAAAAAAAACAGGAGTCCAATGGCAGCTGAAAGACTAACAGCCTTCATTCCAGCATACGATTTTGTGAGTTACAGAACAGATGAAGTGAAAGCTGCCTCACAATAGCTTATGGTGAAATAAATTTGGTTAGTCTGTAAGGTACCACTGGATAGCGTTACAACTCAAGAAGAGTTGCAAAGAAAATGAGGAATGGATTTTCCATTAAGGTCACTGGTCCCAAATGCACTGCTCTAGGACTGGAATGGCAGACCCCAGAGTGGAATGACAGCCCCTGGAAGTAGCATGTGTGTTCTGAGGGTGGAATAACAGGCCCCACAGTGGAATGACAGCCCCTGGGGGTACAAGGAGTGTTCTGGGACTGGAATGACAGGCCCTATGATGGAATGGCAACCCCTTGGAGTAGGGGGAGTGTTCTGGGACTGGAATGACAGGCCCTATGGTGGAATGGCAGCCCCTTGGAGTAGGAGGAGTGTCCTGGGACTGGAATGACAGGCCCCAGTGTGGAATGACAGCCCCTGGGGAGTGGAATGCCAGGCCTATCTTTACAGTCCCAGGACACATCTCCTATCCCCCTGGGCTTTCATTCCACTCTGGAACCAGTTATTCCAGCCCCAGAATACTCCAGGGGCTAACCCCAGGGGCTGCCATTCCACCCTGGGGCCTGTCATTCCAGTCCCAGAACACTCCTGCTATGCCCAGGGGCTGTCATTCCACTCTGGGGCCTGTCATTCCAGTCCCAGGAAACATCTCCTACCCTCCTGGGCTGTCATTCCACTGTGGGGCCTGTCATTCTAGTCCCAGAGCAATGTATTTGGGACCAGAGACTTTAATGGAAAATCCAGTCTGCATTTTCTTTGCAACTCTTCTTTAGCTGTAATGTATTTCAATGGAGCCCATGCAAGTCAATAGGC